GAAATCCTGGTGAATCTCGGCCGCCGCTCTCGATCGTGGGTTCTGAACTTCTGGCCGTGGAGACGCATTTATGGCCTAGATAGCTGGTGAATCAATATCTCAAGCTGTCAGAATTCTTTGTGAGAATGTCCACGTCTAATCACTCTGATCCACATCACCAAATCCTGACTTCAATCACTTCCCATCTTCCCTCGTGCATTAAATGCTCCTATGTGGCCAGTGGGTTTGCTGCATTTAAACAGGCACTACTTCATTAAATGCAGCCTGGGACCCTGTTGTCACGTGATGATTTGCTTTTAATGCCTCTGGTCGTGAAATTGCCCGGCCTCGGCCTCGGCCTGCACCTAAGGCCGAGATGATCATGCCTTAGCATTTCTTCTTTTGTCTTTAGAAAGGCGAAGTACCCTGGCGAAACGCCGCGTTTTAGTTTTACAAACAAGTGCCAGGGCCGAGAGAAGGGGTTCCTTCGGCCAGCTTATGGCCGTGATTTATCAAGCACAAACAAACATAAGTAGAGGGTAATTTGATCCTTCTCAAGCTAGCAAGTTCTTCATCCACCAAACTATTAGAGCCACCATCACCACAACCCTGAAATCCTATTGTTCCTTCAAAACCATCAAACCCACCAAACCATTGAGAATCGTGGAAACGCCATTAAACCCCGAGTTCTCGGCCATAAACCTAACAAAGTCCTTTTGCTGAAACTCTAGTTTGGGATTTTGAGGTCGAAGAGCGGATTCTACAATTCCAGGTCGGCATTCAACAACAAGCGCAAGCCTATACCACTTCCTCACATGATTCTCTAGATATCACCACTTTCATTTCGTCTCAGGGCCACTGTGGCACCGTCACCTTTATTGACGGCTTCAACGGCTGCCAAATCACCTACGCTCAACTCTGACGTGCCATGCGTTCAGTTGCCTCCTCTCTCTCCAACATGGGCATTCGAAAGGGCCACGTCGTACTGATGTTGTCCCTAAAATTCATCTTCTTCCTCATGGTGTGCCTGGCCGTGATGTCTCTGGTGCAATTGAAAGAACCATCATCCCCCTCAAAACCACTGGCGAAATCGCCAAGCAAATTGCCTTAGTTGATCAAGAATTCTCGTGGGCTTTCCTTGGTTGATCAAGAACTATGACATGGAATGAAGTATTGTAGCGCTAATTTGATTTAGGGATTACATAGGAAATGGGTCTGATGCAGCGGCGGACCCAGGAATTTTTCAGCGGAGGTGCAATTTTTAAAAGCTAAGAGCTCCAAAAAAAAATTTAAAAAAAAAAAAGAAAAAAAAAAACATCCTTATCATTTAATCAATACTAATGTTATTCATAATTAATTAAAAAAATAACATTACAATTAACCTACAATTGTTGCCGACGAGGTTTCATATCATGAAAATGTTGCATTATATTTTCATTACTAATACAAGAAAAAACATCTTTCTCAATGTAAACAACCAAGCTATCACTCAACCATTGATTCCCCATTTTGTTACGCAATGGTGTTTTCACAACATTCATAGCTGAAAAAGCTCTCTCAACTGAAGCAGTTGCAACAGGTAAAACTAAAGCCAATGTAACAAGTAAATACACATAGTTGTATATTCTACTCCTTCCTGTATTCACCAATTTTTCGGCCAGATCAGTAATTCCGTTCAATGATGAAAACTTTGTGCTGCTCTGCATATCAACAATACAAAGCCCAAGTTGATCTTCAAGCTTCATGAGGTCTCGGTCATTAAATTCTTGTGGGTAAAATTTAGCAAAACGAAGTATTTTTTGTTTGTCAAAAGCTGCAAAATTATAAGCCGGACTCAAACATGCCATACAAATGAGCAATTCAGTATTTACCTCTGTAAAGCGATTATTCAATTCCACTAGTTGCTTATCAAATATAGTAAGAAATAGGTCCACACGATAATAATGGCGGTTTGTGATTTTCTGAGTTTTACGTCGTGATCTCCCTTGTGGTACAAATAAATCATCCATGTTAGGAACGTCAATATCATTGTTGCCACAAAATCTTGATACTTCGCCAAGCAAATCATTAAAGTCATCATCCCTCACGGATTGTAGCTTTTGCTTACATCTTTGGACCAACATCATCGCATTCACAATATCTTGATCTTTCTTTTGTAATGCCTTTGACAAATCATTTGTGACTCCCAATATAAATCTCATCAAATATAGGTGAAACACAAAGTCAAAAGTTTGTATTTCTTTTAACAACCTATTTGCTTCACCTAAATTATCTTGGTTGACATCATCAACAATCCATTCAAGCACCTTCACCACGGGATGAAACATAGTATTAATACTAAGTAAAGTATCATAATGTGAGTTCCAACTTGTATCACAAAGACGTTTGAGAGTAGTCTCTTGATTTAACCCTTGCCCCGTTTCAAGATCATCAATTTCAAGAGCTTTCATAATATCTTTTTGTTGTTGCTCTCTAAGTGCATCACGACGCTTACACGATGCTCCAATAATATTAACGACACTACTAGCCGTTGTGAAGAAAGTAGCAATGTTTTCATTTCCCTTTGCCACGGCTACAAGAGCTAGTTGTAGTTTATGTGCAAAACAATGGACATAATATGCTTGAGGATATTCTCTCAAAATCTGTGTTTTAAGACCATTGAGCTCACCTCTCATATTACTAGCACCATTATACCCCTGTCCTCGTAGCCAGGACATACTCAAATTTATTGAAGAAATCAACTGCTCAATTGCTTCTTTCAATTCGCTACTAGTCGTATCAGAGACATATTGGATACCTACAAACCTTTCAATTACTTGCCCTTTTTTGTTCACATAACGCAACACCACCGCCATTTGCTCTCTTATTGAAACATCACGTGATTCATCTACCAATATAGAAAAGAATGCATCGTCCATATCACTATAATTGCATCAATGGTTTTAGCGGCACAAGAATTGACAAGCTCTTTTTGAATTTTAGGAGCAATGTACTTGAGATTTCTTGGAGCGTTCTCAAACACAACGGCACAAACTTTCTCATCATGATCAGCAAGAAATTGCAAAAGCTCAACATAATTACCCTTATTGCTAGATGTTTCGCTTTCATCATGACCACGAAAAGGGAGACCTTGTCGCAATAAATATCTAGTGCAATCAAGTGCGGCAGTTAATAGAATGCGATAATTAATATGAGCTTGGTCTGTCTGCTTGATCACAATGGTTTCAACGTGTTGCTTCTGATTCATTAAATCTGTACAATGTTGTGTAGCTTTATTGTGAAGACTTCCAACTTGTCCGACATGGTCCCTAAAATTCTCGGGTCCCTTCCTCCAATTTTTAAACCCTTTCTCAGTGAAGACATCACTTCCAGCCTTTCCTTGTTTATCAAAGTCGCATTTAAAAAGATAACAATGAAGACAAAATGCAGCATCTTTCTCTTTTCTATACTCCAACCAAACAAATGAATCAAACCATTTCACAAGAAAACGTCGATTACAAGGACCCATGAGTGTTTGAGGCATGTCATTTTGGCTTTTAGGCTGACAAGGACCCCTTTGTAGATAGGCTCTTCGGATTTGTTCTCGAAAATTGGGATTATAATAAGTCATTGGAGGTCTAAATACAGGGTCTGCAGGAAGAGTAGCCAATATTTCATCCAACTCAGTGACCTCTGATCGTTTTGGACTACCCGAATTATTCAAGGGAGGATGTGAAGTAGGCGGATTATTTGAAGGAGGGTTGGAACTAGCCGGATTATTTGAAGGTTGATTT